TGGTCGCATGAGCCTGTAGCGCAGGCATGGTGCTCTGCTCGTAACTGCTGTACGGCACCATGTACCCATGTTCGTGCTGACGATCATGGATCTGGAAGAGGTTGCTACTGTTCGTCCATACTCTCGTGGCACTTCGAATCGATGCCCTTGTCCTGGGTGAACGACTGCGACCGAGTGGTTCTCTGTGGGGCTGATCTTTCCAGGCGAATCAGCACGTGTAAATCATCGTGCCGTCTGCTGAAGTTCTCTGGGTTGTACTTCCGTTCGTGCTCGTTGTCGTGATATCGCCTGTCGCTGCACATGCATGGTGCCTGCGCTAGCACTCCTCGCGCTGGTCCTGCACGTCGTTTGGGGGCTCTGCATAGGTATCGATTCTGGCCTGCACGGTCCTGGCGGGTCTGATCTTCATAGTCGTCTGCGTACAAGGAATCTTGGGTGTGCAGCACGGAGGCGCGGTCGGCGATCCACTCCTGCCAATCAATGTTCTCGTGCTGCATTCCCCCAAGCTGTGGCGGTCGGCTCGGTCCGTCATCCCATTGTGATCCTGTCATCCCTGTGCACGGGGCGAACTTGTTTTTCTCCTTCAGTGTCGTTCCGCAGCATCTGCCCTCGTCCTCCTCCCCCATCTCGTGCGTGCATACGTACTCGTTTGTGAGGCTGTTGTCGTCGTCGGCTTCTCCGTCACCGCTCTGAGGTCGGGCTGCTCGTCGGGCGCCTTCGGGGCTGAGAAGGTCTCGATGGGCACTGTGTGATGTGAGCCCCCCTTCACTCGAACTCGAGGTGTCGATCGATTTCCAACGTCCCAATCTCGTCGTATCCGATGCTGTCCTGTTCCTGCCTGGGGGACGTCTCCAGCCTGGCTTCGCGAATATTGTTAGAAAGCATACCCCACCATTGTTGAACGTTGCCTTGGTCCCAGGCTTTGCGCCACTCCATCTCGTCCGTCTGTTGGGTCTTCTCCTCTTCTTGTTTTGAAAGCTCCAGGCGTTTGTAGTCCCGTGTGAACGCGATCATCATCAGGTCGCAGTTGGCATGTGGCGTGAGCTTGCTGTTGTGGGTCTTGGCGCTGTGCACATCCAGTTTCATGTAAATCGGCATGTGGTCGGTCAGGTGCGCGGGAAGACGTCGCGCCAGGCCAGCCGCGGGGTAAGGTTGGCGAACCCTGCACATGGCTTTCGCAGGCGAAGCAAAATGGTCTAAGTTGCGTGTGTAGGCGCTTCTGTAGTAGGCGTTCCCTGTCCCCGTGTAGGTGTCTCCGATCGCCAAGTGGTTGTCATCGTTGAGGTCGCTCCTCTGCATGCTGGTGGTGTTCTCTAGGGCGGGCTCCTCTATGTCGCTAGACTCGGTGGCCTCGATGTACTTCTTCCCTGTTGTGTGTCGGCGTATTCCAAAAGCGCAGTTGTAGTCACCAGACATGATGGGGAGGCTGTTGTGACCCCACTTGTCTAGCTCGCTCTGTTTGACGGCCGTGCCCCTCGGTGTTATAAAGATGGGGAACGACGCCACGTCTATTGTGCTCATTCTGACTGTAATCATGCCACTCCGTCATGTGATTCCGCTCGTCGTCGGAGTCGTAGCCGCTCTCGGGACACTCCCACTAAGTCCCTATTCAGTAGTACTGCCAGTCCGCATGGATTGGGGACGCCAGCCACTGTCCTCCACCTGTGCTGGATACATTGTTGGTTTGGCAGCTGGTACTTCGTGTAATCCGTGCCTCGCGCTGCCCTTCCCGTCCCAATGGCTCCGTCGACGCTGCCGTTGGCCATCTGCATCGAAATCTCCTCGAGGATGATGAAGTCTGCCCACTGCAAATTGCGATGCACTATCCTCTCGTTGCTTTCCTCGGCGGAGAGGCGGGTGTGGCACAGCGAGCAATGCAAGAGGAAGCGTGGGAAAAACATCAACGCGGCGGGGGTACGGTAGCGGACTGCTGTGTGAGTATTCACGGCGCCGCCCTGAGCGGCCCCGTTCCCGCCGATGCGCCCTGTGTTCCACACGTCAAAGATCTGTGTTGACTGTGGGTGGGGATGGGCCGCTCGCGGGTGTCTGGGCCGTGGCGGCGGCTAGGAAGAGGAGGAGGAGGAGGAGGAGGAGGAGGAGGAGGAGGAGGAGCGAACGTTCCCTTTCGGACGCTTGCCAGAAGCACTGGCACCGCCAACGATGCAGGCGGGAAGCCTCAGAGCGGTGCGGGCGGCGAGAACCGCCTGCTTCTGGTGGTCGCACTCTAGCTCGGCAACGTCAACGTCTTTGATGATGTGGTAGAGGCGGTGCATCACCGCGACCCTCGCGAGGCTGTGGCTCCTTGAGTGCTGCATCTGACTGCTGGTGGTTCGCGCCAGGGCCCAATCTCACCAGTACCTCTTCGTGCAGGAGTCCTCGAGGCAACGCCACAAGATGGAGGAACCCCCAGCACTTGAAGTAATGCTCGATGGAGTCGGAGCCCGTCTCACATTCAAAAAAAACAAAGACGTTGGATCGGCACAGCGTGCATTCTGAATGACGTAGTCCATCCTCCTCCGTATGTCCTCAGAACTGGCCAGACTCGTGAGAGTGGAAGTGGTCGGAGGATATCCCGGGCCGCGCGCCAAAGGCGACGAAGGTCTGCAAGAATGTGAAGGACGACCCATAACAGGCGGCCAATCGCTTCCGGATTGTGACCTCGAGCTCATCCTGGAAGAGATGGCTGCCCAACGCATTCTGATATGCCTTCTGGGGGCTGGGCTCCTTGCTACCGTTCCAAGCGCCTCCCGAGTGCGAATGGACCCCCCCCCTAAGGGAGCTTTGAGGGGGGTTCTATGAAGCTTTGCAGCGGCGCGAACACCATGAGAACCCGCAATCCTATGAGCACGCCGCAACTGACGATCCGCCTCCATTGCCCCCCCACGGGTCCGCGAGAACTTCTTGAACTCACGAAACCACTGCCCTCCACGGCGTGATTGAGGTTGGAAGCGATGGAGAACTCGTGAGCCTAGTATGGCGCGCACCGCTTGCCCTCGGTAAAGCGAGGAATCGGTAGGTGCTCCATTGCCGTGGCCTCCAGCGCAATCTGCGTTGCCTGCCGGCCCTTGAGCGTCGTGGTGGCCGGGCGCCACAGCGTGGCAGCGAGGTAGGTCTCGACGCTCTGAGGGACCTCGAATCCGGCCCAGCCGCTGAAGGTAAACATATCTGCCTTCGCGAACGTGGGCGGGGCCGCCCGCAATATCTTGTGGAGCGCGTAGATCTCCCGCTCCAGCAGCGCGTCGGTCGGCGGGAAAAGCTGGCCCACGAAGCTCCGCGCGGTGACGGTGGAGACGCTGTAGATCTTGGTGCCGATCTGGAGCGGCGAGCGTGAGGTGCCAAGCACTCGAGAGCGATCCCACCATTTCCCGCTCGGCGCCTGCCTTTGCGTTGAACGCGTCACTCCAGGGCCAATGAAGACGTCCAGGAATTTGGCTAGAGCCGCAATCTTGAAATCGCGCCATGGGGGACATACCGATACCAGATACTCGCGGACCTCCGAACTCAACGACGGCGTTGGCAACGCCCACACAGGTACAATGACGCATGTCTTTGCTTGGAGCTTGCGGCCCGCCAATGCTTTCGCCGCCATCATGTTCGGTACGATCGTTGCCGGGTCGTGTAGCGCAGCGAGTAAAATGCCTAAGTCGTCAGCACATGCTCGAAGAAGGCCTCGATGAAGTCGTTTCAGCTCGCCTGCGATGCCCCAGACCCGCACGTCAAATACGATAGCCCAGATTGTGCCGGACAATGGGCAGCCCTGCGCCACGCCCGAAGCCGCGATCAGCAGCGGCAGCTTTACGCCACCAGTATCGAGAAACATGATCGGCCAGCGGTAGCACGCCTGCAGGAAGGTGCGCTCGGCCATGCGCCGGAGAGCTGGCCACATCCATTGGCGCAGCAGGCTCGGAAAGGCAGCCGCGATGTCCATGCTCATGAAGATCGGGCGCTCGACGTGGGCCTGGAGCATCATAGACAACCTTCTCGCCTCGGCGTCAGGAGGAGGAGGAGGAGGAGGAGGAAAAGAAGAGGCGGAAGCGGAGGTCCTCTGACTCTCGGGGTGCACCAGCTCTTGGCGAAACTGGAGCCGCATTCTCATCGGCAACGCTTTGGGTATGGCCCGAAGTTCGGTTGCTGGCTAACTCAGCTCGCCTTCCCCACATTCACCCCGCGAAGCGAAGGTCAAACTAAAAGGTAGTGAAAAAAACACGAGCGGTGTGTTTCTACTTTCGGCCTCTGGGGGCCCTCGCTGGGCCGAAGGACCGTCGAAAAACGACTCAGGATGAAAAGCCAGTCTCTGGAAACGGGTCGGGACCCCAAGGAGTCGACGACGTGACAAACATCATGACGTCGGGGACCTGCGTGTTCCGCACACCCCGAGCCACGGGGAGCAGACTGCACTCGCCATCCGGGGGCCGAAGTCCCACGCTGGGCGGGTCAAACTTTGTTGCACTCCGCTGCCCGAGGAACCCCAGACCTGCGGCGCTTCCCGAGCAGCGATGCCGCTCTCACTCGCGCCCTCTTCGTCGCCTCCCTGAACAAAGAGTGGAACTGTCGGCTCCCGCGTAGAGGAAAGTCAAATCCGCTGCACAGCCGGGCGTCTGCTCAGGGATAACCCCGCGCTGGCCAAGAGTGAAAGGACGACGACGACGACGACGACGACGACGACGGCGAAGACGAGGACAGGAGCACAAAGGGGGAGAACGATCGCCCCGCCGAGGCCGCCTGAAAGGGCCGCGCGTCGGCGCACTCCAGGGACGACAGGGCCCACAGGACCCGCACCCCTCCGAGCGCCAGCTGGCCAGCGCGCATGGGCGACACCTGCTGGCGGCGCGCTCGAGGGGGGGGGGCTGAGGACGAGGGCAATAAGAGGGGAGGGAGGAGAAGGGCGAGGATGGGGCTCGCGGCAGGGGAACGGTCGAGAACCACAACGTCGAGGCGGTCTTCGAAAGCGTCCGGCCGGTGATATCCGTGCCCGCCCTGCGGGACATCACGGGGCCCGGAAACTCTACGCAGCGGAGTGCCGAGTGCGTTGGGTGTTAGTTCCGTCTCCCGCCTCGTTGTTCCCAGCGTTCTCACACCCCGTGCTCCGTCTCCCGCTCCCCCTCCCCCGCGTTGGGGTGGGAGCAGAGGGCTCCCAGATGGGGTCCCAGTAATGAGATGGGGTCGGAGGATCGCGCCACACCGCCAACAATGCATGGGCGATGCATGGGCGATGCATCGGCGACTTCGGCGACGCATCGGCGTCGCCGGCGTGGAGGAAATCGGGCTCCGCATCGAGCCGCGTCGCCGATGCATCGGGGATGCGGCACGATCCTCCGACCCTATCTTTTCAGACCCCATCGAGGAGGCCTGGAGGGAGGCTCTCCGAGATCGGGCTTGGCATCCTCTTGCGAGAAGCGGAGGGGAGGAGGCCGGGCACGCCAGCACGATCCACGAACAGGCCAAGCGGTGGCCTGACGCCTCGACCGGACGGCACCGTGGTGCGACCTCCAAGAGTCTTCACGCGGCTGCACGTGCTGGCCATGCCCTCGCGCGCTCCGGGCACGTCGGGGGGGACAGTGGGCAGAGGGGAGGGAGGAGACGAGGAGGGGACAGGGGGGGAAGAAGATGATGCCCGTTGCAAGCTGTACTGATTAGTGGGCCCTGGAAACGACAAGGACGTTGTGCTAGCAATTCGGTTCTGCCGTTTGTTACCGGTTCCGTCGACGTTGTTGTTGCCGCTTCCGGTTCCGGCTCCAATCCCGGCGCCGTTCTTGTTGCCGTTTCTGGCCGCCGATTTTTTTTACACTTTCTGTTTTCAAGAGACACTTTTTCGAAACCAGTGAACAACGTCCCTGCCGTTTCCGGGGTCCACTGGGAGCTATTGTGCGTAGCCGATATTTGCCGCGGAGCCTGTCCTGCGAACTCGGCCGAAATGCGGCGGCACCGGCGCACAAGTGAAAGATTCCTGCGGCACGCGGGCGTCCACCTGGCACTGGCACATGATGGGGTATGTTCTGGACCATTTGCGCCCTTTGTCTGCCTCCTGCGAGACTTCTCGTCTTCGCGGTTGCAAAGCTGGGGAGGCTTCTCGGCGGCGGCAAGCTCGGGGGGAATCGAGGCTCACAGAGGAAGCATGAAACAAACAATGTGACCATGGTGGCCCGCACGGATCTCTTGGATCGGCGCTGCAGGCGCCGCTGGGGGTGGGGGGGGGTCCAGCGCCGACCCGAGGAGTCCGCCGAAGTCTTCGCTTCGTGCACTTCGCTGCGGCTTGCGCTCACTTCGGAGCCTCCTGGGGGCCTCCTCGCCGTCGCGGCCCGCTGGCCCCCCGAGGCTTCGGCAAAGGACGCATCCCGGGAGAGGGCGCGTGCGCCGGCCTCCGCGGAGGCTGGAGCGGCCACACCCCGATCGGGGTGTGGCGCGCACCGGGCGGTGGGGCGAGGGGGGCCTGTCTGCCCAGAGCGGCCGCGGGTGTGTCCAGACGGCGGAGGCAGGAGGCCACCGTCTTTTCCTGGAAGGAGGGGTCACGGCAGGTCGGCGGCAAGCAGAAAGGGGGGGCAGAAAGGGGGGGAGGGGGGAAGGCTTCTTCGCACCGTCTTTTCCTGGAAGGAGGGGTCACGGCAGGTCGGCGGCAAGCAGAAGGGGGGGCAGAAAGGGGGGGAGGGGGGAAGGCTTCTTCGGCCTGGCACCCACAGAGGAGGCCCGCGCCTGCTGAGGAGCAGCCTCCTTCTACAGAACCTGCCCCCCTCCCCCTGCCCTCCTCTGCGAGTGCCCGCAGAAGGGGTGACTGGCCCAGGGGGGCCATTGTCGTGGAATCGGCGATGCATCGCCGATAGCCTGGCGATGGAGCCCCTTCGTGAGCCCCCACGTGCCGGGGCAGGCTGGGGCTGGGGCATCCCTGCCCCGTTCGGCGGGCGATCGGGGGTCGATGCTCCAACGCCCCTTCGCCTACAGCAGTCGTGCCACCGTAAGGAGCGCACAGTGGTCCACGAAGGGGCCCTTCTGGCCTCGGCGGGCCTAGGACACGAGCAGGTTCCCCGACGCAGACCCAATGGAACGGCCCGACAGCCCGAGCTCCTCCTGAGCCCCAAGCGGTCCTGATTTCAGAGGTCTCGACTGTACCTCCCCCGCCTTCTGACAAGGCTGCCCCCCTCGCCGCGCCCCCCTCGAACGCGCAGCCGGACCTGATGAGGGGAGCAGGAACACCACCAGCATCAGCATCCCAAGACGAACCTGGAGCGACAAATCAGACAACGACTTTTGTCTTCGTATGTCGGCTTTCGGAAGCCTGTATTGGGCCCCAGAACCGCCGACTAGCCATCCGGTGCGAAGAGCTCGTCCCTCAGCAGGGGGTTGAGAGGTCCAGGGGCCCGCGTCTTGAGAGCCATCACGGCGTCGGATGGCTGAGGACGACGGGTGACGACAATCGGGACTGGTCAGAACTGAGAACGTCATGGACTTTGCTGGTCGGAAACAGTCGAGAACTATCTTCGTCCCGCGGCTGCCTCACATCTGCAGCGCCCCCGCAGGAGGCAGCGATCTGCGCACCCCGGCGACGCCCAGCCTCGGGAGAGCCCCAGAAAGGTCCAGCGCTTGGCCGCAGGCCTCCCGAGGAGGGCCCAAACTTCCAGGGGCCGCACGAGATCGCGCCCGAGGTGTGCCGTTGATTGCCCGCTGTTCCGTCGCCATTTTTGATGCCGGTTGCGTCGCCGGAGTTTCTCCGGTTCCAGCTCCAGCTCAAATTCAGGGCCGATTTTCAGTCGTCGTAGACCACGGGAAGAGGATAGCATCTGCATCAGAATCTGAGCACTGAGGCACCAGCTCCGACCATGATTAAGGCCCGGTCCGGCCTGAGTGCGCGCACAGGCCATGCTGCATATGGCCCCTCATTTCGAACCATCTTGAACAACAACAGCCCCTCATCTTGCTCCTCTCAATGATCCTCAGAGCGTGCAGTCGCACCAACGTGCACTTGTCCACCAAAGCCCTTCACAACGACGCAGCCGATGTAATGAGGGCCCATCGGGGTAAGCAAACAATCGGCTAGCACGTAACCAAGATCATCGATCCTCTCCCGTGTCAGGCATTTACAATGAAGGACTTGTGCGTGGCGTGTCGTAGCGGCGACCCTGGCGACACGCTATGCCGCGCTTTGCAAGCGGACATGTTGTTCGGGGCGTTGACGCTTCGGGAAGTGAGACGAGGTCAACATGTCGCGCCGAAGCGTGGCGCGACACGCTGAGGAAAGGTCAGCCTTGGAGGTTATTGAAGGCATCGCCCCTTCCTGGCGCTGCTTCCCGGTCTGAGAGGGGGTGCACCTTGGAGGCAGCTGGGGGGTCTGCTCTCGATGGGCACCAGCCAAGCCAGATAGGAAGGGAAAGGGGGCACATGCGGCATCCGATGCACGGCTGGCGAAGGCAGCCCTGAGGGGACCAAGAACGGAATCTGAATACGACGGTGCCTCTCCCCCTTATTTCACGGCTGGACCCCGTCATGCCCGACCTCCACCCCCCAGACGGCTGCAAATGGTACTTTTGATGTTTGTTGATTCAAAACCTCCTTTCCCTTACTCGAGAAGTCGCCGCCGACCCGCAAGCCATACCCCTCTCCCCAACCACCATCACCACCACCATCCTGGTAAAAATGCAACGAAGCCCTCCTGAAGCCAACGTTTTGAACCACGCGCAGGCAAACCGATCACACCTTCGCACTGTCTTTGACAGGGATTGCGGGGGGAGGGGTCAAATTTTCCGCTGGGCGGTGGCACGCCACCCCTGCAAGAGCCACATGGACGGCGCGGGTGGTCGACATTCTGCCCGATGTCTGGGCTGTCACGTGCACTGGCACACCTGGCGCACTCCGCGGGCGCCGCGCACGTGGCAGGCGTGGCGCACCTCGCGAGCCTCACTAGGTGGAAGACGCCGCTGGCATCTGGGTGCGGCCCGCGCGCAGGGGCGCGCGCAGGGGCGCGCCCCCACCGGGACGGGAACGATCCGGACCTGCTACGTCAGGAGTGGCTCACGTGGGCCCCGGGAGAGCCCGTCCTTCTACGAATCAGAGACCATTCACGGCAACGCCCGTGACCAGCCCCGCCCCCCCCCCCTTTCTGTCCCCTGGTCACGTCACGACTCGCGCCGCCGGCGCCGTGTGGGAAACGGCCAAGCTCAAGCTTTCCCAGACGCCGCCAACGCGAAGCGCGACGTGACCAACCCCCCCCCTGTCGCGGCCGTTGTCGCCAGAGCGTTCTTCGAAGGACCGGGGCTCAGCACCGGAAGCCGAAGACCGGCGGGGACAGAGGCGAGTGGAAAGCCCGCTCCACTGCCGGTGCTGCAGCGAGGGGAAGCCCCGTGGCGGACGACAACCCCCTGGCCATCGCTCGGACGTCCATTCCCTGTGATTTCTTTCGTTTCGTGCGTGGTTTTTTCGCCAAATGATCAAGGATGCTCCTCGATGGTCCTCGCCGAAGGAAGAATGCACACGTCCGAGCGATGCCAAGTCCCTGCGCTGCAATTCTTTCACAACGGACGTTCGCCCGATCTCGGGCCCCCTGGGCCTGCACAGATCGATCCGGCTCGAAAAGTGACGCAGAGAGATGCCTATGACTGCCTACCAGACCACCCCAACCCAACCCAACCTGAAGACCCGAATTTCGGGTTGGGGGGGTAAGGGTTCCACATGTGTTTTTTCGATGTTTCCCGACCCCCCCCCAACTGGAAATCGAGGGTAAATCTGAGCCTTCGGGTTGGGTTGGGGTGGGTTGGTGGGTGGTGAGTCTAGGGCTCCAGTCGTGATTGCTCGCAATGTTGCAATATTTCTCTGCAGCGTCGGATCTCAGGGATTCAGGGGTGGACAGAACCGCCACTAGAAACACAACTCCTCTCAGCGAGAACCGACCTGGAAGCAGACAAGGCGGGCGCAAGCCCACAAAAGAGCCGGTCGCAGCTTGCCAATCGACTCGGCAGGATGGCGTCCCTGTCGGCCTCCAGACAACGACGCCGACGCCGATGCAATGACCTCCGCCAGCGCGCCGGCGGCCGCGCCGCCGGGCGCCGCCAGGGCCCCGAGGAACTCCGTGGTCGCCGCCGCCGCGCACACCCCAAGGCTGCGCAGCGACAGGGCCGCCAGGGGCGCCTCGGGCCGCCACTGGCACCGCCGCCGGCGTCGTCCACCGCCGGCGCCGTCACCAAAGCCGCCGTCGTCGTTGGCGTGGTCATCGCCGCCGTCGCCGTCGCCGCAGCCGTCGCCGCCGTCGTCGCCGACGCCATCTTGATCGATGTGGTCGGCGTCGTCGCCATCGTCGCCATCGTCGACGTCGTCGTCGTCGTCGTCGTCGTCGTCGTCGTCGTCGTCGTCGACGTCGACGTCGTCATCGTCGTCGTCGTCGTCGTTGTCGTTGGCGTCATCACCGCCGTCGCTGCCTTCGCCGTTGCCGCCATCGTCACCATCGCCATCTTTATCGTTGTCGTCGTCGTCGCCATCGTCGTTATCTTTGTCGCTATGGCGTCCACCTGATGAAAAAGCGCAAGACAGGTCGCCGCTTGGGCCCACCCACTTCAGAGCCCTAACGGCGAGCGTAGATTGTGAGGAGCCCCGCGAAACAACTACGAGGGAAAACACCTTGGAGCCCCGTCAGCCGAGGAGAGAAATATGTTGCACCAGAGGTTGCGCCATACATTGTACCATACCTTGCTCCATATGTTACCAGGGGTTGTGCCTTCGGGTGCGCCATAAGATTCGTTATATGTTGCATCATACTTAGGTTGCAAGAAATGTTGCAGCATGCAGCTCTCCCTGTCAGAGGTTACGGAATGAATAAATTGTACCATGATGTGCACCACAGGCTGTGCCTTCGGGTACGTCACGGGTTTCGACAGACGATTCGCCATGCATTGGACTATGGTTGCGCCAAAGGGCAGCATAGGCTGCGCCACACTTAGATTGCGCCATGGAGTGTGCCATAACGAGCGTCGTAGATTGCGCCACGTGTTGCGACAGAAGGTTGAGCATGGGTTGCGCCTGCAGGCTGCGCTGGAAGTTTCACCACCGATTGCGCCTTGAGGTGCGGCATGGGTGGTGCATGTTCGTCACCACAGGTTTCGCCATGGGTTGCGCCTTAGGTTTCGCCATGCATTCCCTCACAATGTGCGCCATAGGTTGTGCCGTGGGTTGCGCCACGGCCAGCGCTATGGGTCGCGCCATGGGTTTTGCCATAGGCTACGACGTATGTTGCGCCGCGATCTGAACCACGAGTTTTGTCGCGCCATCGGCTTGTCTACTGGCCAGAAGTTTCGCCCTGGGCCACCGAGCACAAAACGGCCTGCTTACGAACGCACCCAGTCCACCACTCCTGTGAGCGTAGGTGGTTTAGAGCGCTTCCTCTTCCCTGTGGGCAGGGGCTTGTCCTTCCCCCTGCCCCACGCCGCAAGACTCCTCCCCTCAACTACGTAGGCCATAATATTCGAATGGAGCAAGGCCTAGACAGAGCGCCAACGAGATAGACGGGACGGGGAGAGAGAGTTGCTCCAGATCAGACCCGAACGGCAAACCAGCACGGCAGACCAGCACGGCAGGCCAGCACACCAGACCAATGGGCCTTTTAGAAGCCTCTTGGAAGCTTATTGGCGGCCTCTCGGGGACTCGTGGAGACCTCGTGGGGACCTCGTGGGGACCTAGTGGGGACCTCTTGGGGACCTCGTGGGACTCTCGGAGCACTCCTGGGTTCTCGTGAGGACCTCCTGCGGACCTCTCAGGGGCCTCGTTCGCAGGGGGGTCCTGGGGACCAGTTGGTGCACTCGACAAAAAAACATATGGGGAACTGCCGGGGCCTCTTGGGACGGGCTTGGCGCCCAGGACGCCCGACCCTGGTGGCCTTTTCTCGGAAATCGGGTGTGACTGAACCATGCTTGGGGCCCTCTTGGGGCTCTCCTCGAATCTCTCGCAAGCCCGTGGAGCCTGCTTGGGCCCATCCTGGGCCCGTCTCGGGGCTCTCTCTCTATCTCTTGGGACCCTCTTGCGGCCACCTCGAGACCTCAAGAGCCTGCCGAGAGCAAACTCACAGACGGCAGCGAGTAGGCGACCACACTTGATTTCCGTTTGTGTGTTGACTGACGTTGCCCCCTGTGGGCCTACCTGAGAAGCGCATGGGGGCCCAGATTCGGCAGGCCGACCTGGAGGCTGTCTGGGCGTGTCTTCAAGGCCTTGCCTCCTCATGCCGTGGCTTCCCCGGTGTTGCACCAGCGTTGCCTCGTCGGATCTTCCCTCGTTTGGCCGCCTGGGGCCGTTCTGGCAGCGTTCTGGGCCGGCGTGGCCGCCCGTCGACGGAAGCGGTCCGCCCACCTCGTCAAGGGGAGTCCCTGCCTCCTCCCCTGAGGTAGGTCTGGACGGGAGGGCCGCGTGGCGTCAGAACTTTCCCCCTCTCCCCCTCTCCCCCCCCCCTCCCTCCCCTCCCCTTCCCTCCTCATCCTGCCCCTCCCCACCCTTCCAACTCCTCTTCCCGTCAAGCAGCCTCCCACCCTCGACCTTCCTCCTCCTCCCCCTCCCACCCTTCAAGATCACCCAGGCAGCTCCGAGAGACTCCCAGAGATCCTTCGATTCACCAGGTTTGCCTTTTTGATTCGCCGTATGCGTATGTTTTCTCTTCTCCCGACAGCTCGCCCTGGCATCGTTTCTGAATGGGCAGATCGGGATAGTCCAAGCGTGCCACATGGTCCGTTCCCTCAGTGGGTGTACCATTGCACTGAGATTGTGCCATGGATTGCGCCAGGAAGCTCGCAGTTCACCAAATCCCCCAGAAGTTGCGACGTAGGATATTGTTTTCTTGCGGAGTCTTTGCAAACGAATGGCTCGCGATGAGTTCTTGAAGAGTATTCATGAGGCGGGCGTTACTAACGCCCGTTGTTGGGGGCGACCCCCTCCTCCCCCTCACCCCCTGGTACCCTCACGATTCGCGCTGACGACGTCTGCGAATGGCTAGGGGCAGCCAATTCGCAGACGATGCTGGCGCGAATCGCGACGTTGCCAGCCTCCCCCCCGCGGTGTCGGCCGTTATCGCGACGGTATGGAAAAAAAGCTCTAGGTTGCGCCATGGGTTGCGCCAGACAGCCCTCAATCAACCAATCAACCAACCAGTCCGCTGCCTCAGTGGCTGCACCATTGCGCCATCGGTTGCGCAATAGGGTGTGCCAGGCACCCCGCAATCTACCAAATCGGTCGGTGCCTCAGTAGGTGTACCATGGCGCCCGGTGCCTCAGTGGGCGTACCATGGCGCAGTACGTTGCGCCATATGCATACGATGCGCCAGGCACCCCGCAGGCCAACAAGTCGTTTGCTGCCTCAGTGGCTGTAGTGTTGCTCCGAAAATTGCGCCATTGGTTGTGCCATAGGCTGCGACAGGCACCCCGCAATCTACCAAATTGACTGGTGCCGCAGTGGGTGCGCACTTGCGACATAGGCTGTGCAGTAGGGTCAAGTTGTGCCAGGTTCCCCGCAAGCCACCAGATCGTCGGTAGCCTCCGCGGGGTGTACCTGCCAGGGCACTTCCCCGGGGTGGCCGAAGATACCTGCGAGAGCGCTTTCTCGGAGCGCGCGCATATAGCATTGCACACTGGTTGCGCCATAAGGTGAGCCAAGCACACCCAGATGTACAAGATCGTCCGTCGCCTTAGTGGGTGAACCACGCGTCACGCCAGAGGGGGCGCCAAGGAGCTCCCGAGCAACCAAACAGTACGTTTCCTCAGTTTACGCGCAATTGCGTAATACGTTGCGCAAGAAATTGCGCCACAGGCTGCGCGAAGCGCCCCGCCATCCACCCGAAACGCCAATCTGCCAAAGCCATCCAACGACGCCCCTCGCGTTGTGCTGCAGGCTGCCGCCTGCACCGAGGGGAGCAGCGAGTCCGGCACCACCGCCACCGCCTCCGCCAGCAGCTCTGGCATCCGCGCCTGGCGAGGCCCCAGCGGCATCGGCAGGCCACAGAGAGCAGCCCGAACGCATCGCAAGGGAGGCACGCTCGCCAGTAAGGCCCCCTCTACACCGCCCGAGGAGCGTCCACATCCACAGCTGCTGGATGTCCTGCAACCGAGGAACAGAGAACTGCGTAAACGTGAACGTTCGGAGGAGAAGGAGGAGGAGGAGGAGGAGGAGGAGGGGGGGGGGAGGAGGAGGAGGAGGAGGAGGAGGAGGAGGAGGAGGAGGAGGAGGAGGAGGAGGAGGAGACGACGTAACCAAGAAGGTCCGTCCGACCGCCGGCCTCGACCTCGGTCGACGCGAACGCATCGACAGAGGGAGAGCGGGTCCCAGCTGGGTGGCGCTTGGGTTCATTTTCGGCCTCCCGAAGGGCGTCGCAACCCGTTGCCACTTCCGCCACCAGGAGGGCCCACAAAAAAGATGGCGCACGAAGCAGACCAGATGTGTGGAGATTCGCCTCGCAATCGAAGGCAAAAAGAGGGTGGAAGGACAGAGCCTGTCACTGCATGATAGGCCCCGCCCACCTCAAGAGAGAGCCGAGAGGCACAGGGCACTGCGGGAGAGTCATCGACCGCAACATGCCAACGCCTCTGGTGCCTCGGTCAATCCCCCACCCATCCTGCCCCATCCCCGCCCCAGAGTTTGAGAGTGCACGCGGCGCTGTGCGAGAGAGCCCTCGATCGCACAGCATGCTACGTTATGCGAATGTGATCCCCACCCCCGAAATGCACCATCAATCCATATCACAACAAAGAAACTCCGGCCCCACCCAGATCAAGATGAGGGCGTGTGCTTATCTTTCGAGTGCCAACTCGGCGGCACCTCGAATGTCGGTGGCCTGCTGCAATGTCATAGTTTGCGCCCTCGGCGCTTTATGGTACATCTGGAAGGCAAGCGCTGTCGCCTTGAGGCACTCGGCTCGACTGAGCTCGGCGCCTTCGATCTGATAATCGCTCTCTTCCCCGAGGCCTAGGAAAGTGAGCGGGCTGGCTGGAAAGTGCCTTCGTGCCCATGCAGGGTGGCAGGCGCAATGGTAATATAATCTTGGGCAGTTCAGATAGTGTGCGATCGCATCTGGGGCTGTGCACCCCCAGACGCAGCTGGTTGGGGGGTGCCCGATATGGAGCCTGTGGGTGGTCGTCCACGCGCCGCACAGCGTTTTGAAAATGCTCCACTGCCAGGACGGTTTGAGGGTCGCAAGGCAAGTTTTGCATGAAGCCCACCTCCCGACCACCGACCTCAGCCCCCCAGGAATCTCCACTTGCCAAGCGAGCAGCCTCTTGCCAAGAGTGATAGGAAAGGAATCGGGAAAGGCGGATGGGCGGAGCGTGCGTGCAAATACCCTCTGCGGATGAGGGCGATGGGCTTCCTGCTCCGCGCGTGCGGTGTGCTCGCGCGCTGCTCGAAATGCAGCTTGCCACCCAGCTGCATTAGGGAAGCGGGGAGGCGGCAACCTTGAACGTTCTAAGAATTGGGCGATTGAAAATGGTCGCCGCCAGCACGGCGCAGAGAACTTACCTGCAATAATGCGAACGATGGTCGCGTTGTCCTGCGCATGCTGCTTCAGGCTGGACAACGCTCTCTGCCAAACATGATTCAGTGTGCGAAACGACGTACGCCATGCACTAGCCCAGCCAAGCAGCTGGACAGAGGACGGGGCAATGGCTAAAAACGATGGAAGAGCATTCAGATCGGCGAGGCTGAGGCTGTTCGGCGGGAGCCTGAGCAGCTTGTGCAATGCCTGGTGCTCTAGCTTACGAATCATGGCAGGGATCGGAAAGAGCTGGGCAAGATACGAAAGGGTCGAGAGGGCAGTCGTGTTGTACAACGTTGACAGAACAGACGGCGCAGCCCCTGAGTGTGGTAGCGCAGCTGTACGCGTCCACCACTTCTCCGCTGCTGGGGCCCAAATCATACTGAGAATTGCCTCGGGACCCATTTCGACCCCAAGATAAGTCGTGTGGCCAGCGATTTTAAAATTGGCCCATTCAGGAATCAACCAACGGAGTTCGCTTCGGACCGCGTCCTGGATTTCAGGCGTGCACTCGGTCCACAGGGGGACCAGGACGCATTTGGCTCCTTGAAGCCTGAGGCACGCAAAACGCTCGACGTCCTGAAAAACTTTGGCCACAGGGACCAGGTCCTGAAGGCGAGGCATCACCATCCCCACGTCGTCCGCACACCCGCCCAAAGACCCCTTGTGGTGCCTCGCCCTCGGGAGCTGCGTCGCAGCATGTAGGCATCTAAGGATCGGATCCATTGCCAAAGAAGGAGGAGGAGGAGGAGGAGGAGGAGGAGGAGGAGGAGGAGGACCCCCCTGACCCCGGCGCGCGGAGCGCACCAGTGCCGGCGCCAGAGCTGCCGCCGGGAGGGCTCAGCGCCGATCCTGACAAACCGCACATGCCCTCGAAAGTTTGAGGTCTGTTACGCAGACTGTTCTTTTCGATGCCCTGGGTCCCTCACGAACGGCGGATTTGGATGATTTCTCGCCGTGAGGGGCGGGCAGATATCCAGGCGTATCCATCGGGTGCTGCCCGAGGTGCCCCTGGCCCAAGGTCCCCAAGGAGGCCCCCACTGCCTCCAAAGCGCCCCTCGCGAGGTCCAGAGGGCTCCTGTGGCTCCCAAATTGAGCGGAAAGCTGGGGGCGCCTTGGGCCAGGGGCACCCTCAGCAACCTCCGAATCCACCGCTCCTCCAGTGGCTCTCGAGGCCCCGGCGCGAAGACTCCGAGGCGGTGGACATGGCGAACATCTGGCGGTGCAGCCCTGGAGGATCGGCAGGCAGGCCTGCCCTGCCTGCTGCAGCGCAGCAGGCCAGCCCTGACTGCGTTCCCTCGTTGCCGCCTGTGTCCGCTACGACACGCGTCCGCGGATAGAGAAAATCAGCGCCATGGTAAGGGATGGGAGGGAGGGGTAGAACGGCACATATGACGCGAGCGCACATAGCTTGCCTCCCCCCCCTCGTTCCCTCCCCCGTACCGCCCTGTCGTTCGTCGGTCGTCTATCGCTCGGATGTCCTGTCGTGCCGCTGGGCTCCGTCTGCGCGGGGAGACAGTGCACGGAACGCGACCAGAGTCGGCTCAGAATCGGTTTGTCCTCGTCGTCGTCGTCGTCGCCAACCTCTTCATAACCGAATACCTTCGAGAATAAACACTCGGGGATAATAAAGTTCGGGGTTCAGGGGGAGATAATCAAAGTAGCCCACCAGACCTCAGCATAATCTCGAAGTAAGAGATGATCAAGAGGAGACCAAGCCGAGCACGGTTTGAGACATCCTTGGCGTTTAGTCTTCATAGAAATATCCTCAACAATGGCTTTTCTCGCTGGAGACATCCTCGACAAATCCCTTGTTTTGCTTGAGACATCCACAAACTATTGCTTATTTCGCTTGAGACACCGTCAAACTATTGCTTATTTCGCTTAAGAAACGTATCGTTTCGCTTGAGACATCCTTCAGTATACGCTTGTTTCGCTTGAGACATCCTCGAGTATATGCTTGTTTCGCTTGAGACATCCTCGGAATAGCTCATCCGCCTCGGTGTCCCTGGATAATCAACCGCGGCGATAATAAAGTTCAGGCGGGCGGAGGAATGGAGAAAGCGATATACAAAAACAACAATAAAAAGAAACAATAAGAAATGAAAAAGAAAAAGGAAAACAAACAAAAAGAAAAGAAAACAGAGGAGGAGGAGAAAGAGAAGGAAAAATATCAAGTTCAAATGTATTAGATGTTATTTACAAGCGCTTTATGAACATTAAAATTTTTAAGTGCTCGTGTAGGGTAGCTCACGTGCCTCGTTTTCCCTGGATAATCAACCCCAGCGATAAACAAGTTCAGGGCGCCAGGGGGAGGAGGAGGAGAAAGAGATAGAGAGACAGAGAGAGAGAGAGACAGAGAGGCCAGGAAGGAGAAAGAGATAGAGAGACAGAGAGAGAGAGAGAAAGAGAGACAGAGAAAGAAAGAAAGAGAGACATAAAGAACTACAAAGAGACAGAAGGACATTGGTTTCGCTTGAGACATCCTGAAACAACGTGTTCGCTTCGCTTGATGTTGTTATCTCAACATAAGAAGGAAGTAACTTCGATGGCGAACTTTCCCGTGATAATGAAGTTCGGCCTCCGCGCCCCCGCGCCCCCGACCAAACTCTTATTGGTCGACGATAAAAAACTCTAACGACTTAAGGGGGGGGTACTTTATTCTCATCGGCATGCGGTTAGTCATCCGAATCACCACAATCACCACCCTGCACATCACCACAACAACCACCATCATCATCATCATCATCATCATCAGCAGCAGCAGCATCAGCAGCAGCATCTGCATCACCATCACCATCACCATGACCATGACCATCACCATCGCCAGCATCACATCCACCATCGCCATCATCATCATCATAATCATCATCACCACCACCATCACCACCACCATCATATGACCAGCTCATCATCACCATCATCATCATCAACATCACCATCACCATCACACCATCACCACCACCATCACCATCACCACCACCACCATCATCATCATCATCATCATCATCACCATCGCCATCACCATCATCATCATCATCATCATCATCATTTATCATCATCATCATCAGCATCATCATCATCATCATCAGCATCATCATCATCATCATCATCATCATCATCATCATCATCATCATCATCATCGTCATCATCCTCCTCATTATCATCGCCCTCCTCCTCCTCATCATCATACTCATGTCTGGAACCCTCCAGGCCAGCTCTTCGTGCTGCGTCCAGGGACGAGAGCCTCCAGGGGACGCCCAGAGGCCTCCGAGACGACGACGAAGACGCGGTCGTCCCTCAACACGGCCCCGAGAGCCAAAACAAGTCTCGTGAGAGCCAAAGCAAGGAGCACCTCACGAGGGGATCGGGACCGCGTGCACGAAGCCGACCACGAGTAGCGCATTGAGCAGGGACCCGCAACATGTTCCAAGAACAACTGCCATGCTCTTAGTACGTGAAGCCTGAATATTGAGCCAGTTATGCCTCAGCCGGACACGTTCTAATAATATTTCGTGCAAAGCACAAGAGCCTTCGTAGGTGGTTTATAAGCAAGTCAAGACGCTTCGCCACTGCTTACACGATGTCCTGTGGCAGGTTCCGGAAACCCTGAACCCAAACATGTTACCACGCCTTGGAGAAAAACTGTTTGCTTCCGCAAGCTTCCGCTGGCCTTCCGCAATCTTCCGCCAACGGAGCCGCCCCTGGTTTCCTTCCGCCGCCGTGCGCCGCCCTTCCGCGGCCACCCACCGAGGAAGAGCTGACAACTCCTTCGAGACTCGAAGGCGAGGCCGTTTCTGGAACGCCTCACGTGGCAATCTCCGGCTCTGCTCTCCAGAGCGCCTCCGCTCCCTCCCCCCCCCAACCCGCGACCGAGCCGCCCCCCCTCCCCCCCCCCACGACCCTCTGCGACCAGAGCGCCTCCGCTGGGGGGCACCCCACGTCTCCCTGGGTGCAGCGCCGCCCCTGCGCAGGCCTCCTCTGCCCCGCCCGCTGCTGCTTCCCCAGGCCCCATCTCATCTCGCCATCGCTCGGACGTCCATTCCACGTGCATGTTGCGGTTTCGCGCGTGTATGTTTCGCAAGGTGGTCCAAGATGCTCCGTGATGGTCCTCGCCGAAAAGAAATGCACACGTCCGAGCCATGCCAAGCCAGTGGCGGCGCGCACAGGGGGGTAGGGGGAGGGGGAAGGCTTCTTAGAAGGAGGCTGTTTCTTAGGCGCTGGCCCTGCAGATGTGGAGAGGGCTTCTCGGGAGCCGGGGTGCTTCTGGGAAGCGTTTCCCCCCCGCCCCTGCTCCCCTCTGCGCCTGGCCGACACCAGGCGTTGTGGTTTTTGGCGATGGGCATTTTGCAAGGGGCCCAAGGGGACACACAAAGAAAGAGTCAAATAACAGGATTCCCCATATTTCCATATATTTTCTGGGTTTTCGTCGTCCCCCCCACTTCTCATATTTTCCAATATTTTCTTGGGGATCGACGATTAATTCTGTCTGTGTGTTTTTTCCCCTCCTGATTTGTTGTTCGCCAGATTGGATCTCAGGATCATGGAGAAGTAACGACGGACGGTTTTCAATAGTGTTCGGCGTCTGGGGGAACTCGCCTCGGAATCGTCAGAAATCGACTCTCCACGTCGTGAAACAATCATGACGTCAAGGGTCTGGGGACGTTGTGCTGTCCTTTGGAGGACGACCCCCGAAATTTCTGGACCCCTGCGCCCCGAAGTGCGGCTTTTCACCCCGAGTCGTTTTTTAACGGCCGGGGCCTGGCGACGGCCGGGGCCTGGCGACGGCCCCCAGGGAACGACGCCTGCAAAAAGAAACGCCCGCCGTGATGTGTTCTTTTCCACGACGCCAGGGGGCCTGGCTCGGAAGCGACGCCCCCGCCCCGATCGCTTCTGCTGCTGGCGCTCGGCGAGGCCGATGTCTGCGCGCGGAGAGCGTTCGACGTCGCCGCGCGCTCCAGAGGGGGCGAGGGCGCGGACCACGGGGGCCACGAGCCAGCCCTCGCGCGACCAGTGCCCACCCCCACCGGCATGGCCTCGGGCCCACTGGCCGACGAACCTCCGCCAGGTGGTGAGACAGGCCTCGGAACAAATTAGCGAACACTCATGATGCCGCATTCATCTGTCAACGGCTCCCCCTCCCCCCAATGTTCAAAGTTGGCGGTGGGTCTGATGAGATGCACTTCGACCGTAGTTTCCCCCGCGCGTGCCAACGTTGAGGTTGGGGGGGAGGGGGAGTGTTCAGTAATTGTTTCCCTCTACCGGATGTGCGTGCAGCTCCCTCTGGGTCTCGCGGGGCCTGCCCCCACCCTTTCGGGGGAGGGGGGCTGGCGGGGCGCGGATGCCATGGCCATGGCCCAGGGTGGGGGTCACAGGACTCGGCTGGACCGTGCTGCCCTCCGAACCGGGACGAACACTTTTTCTGATTCGCGGGTCAAGAGCGCACCTCTTCCGGTCGAAGCAAAGCGGGCCGCGCAGAGCTTGAATTACGCAGAGAAGGGGGAAATCGGGACGAACACGGACCCCTCATAAATCCGGCGTCTTGACTATTTCCCAACCGTCCTGTGGTGTCGGGTCCTCGTTTTGAAGAGACAGGGCCCAGCGTTCTCCTTCCTTCCTTCCTTCCATCCTTCCTCCTCCTCCTTCGCCAGGCTAATTTGCGAGGCGCGGGCCCCCGACCCCAAGACGGCGGAAGTCGGCCGACCCCTCCGCCGCCCGCGCCCGTGCCACAAGCCTGCGCCTGCTGCCCGACGCCGGCAGCGGCGCTGAGTGTGTGGTGTGTTGCTGTCAGTTGCTGCTGGGCGATTCGAGCTTAGAATGCACCGACGGCATAAAGCACAATAGCATCAACTTTCGGAGGGCGGGGGGCCAAGAGATGCCTCCCGTTGCAACCTCCTCCTCAAGATGAGGGAGTGTCTTGAAGCGAGTTGCTAAGCACGACGTGCGGGAGCAGTGGGAACGAAAGAGAGACGACCGAACCAACCGCCACATCACGTGCCCGCATCCAGGCGGCGGGTGGCGGTGTTCGACCGGCGCAATCGTTGTCGAAGGAACTTAATATTCACACGTGTATAACTATGATAAGAGGTGTATGTATACACCATATGGCATAAACATCTGTATATAATGTGTACAGAATCATAAGCATGAACTCTCACAGCTACGCGCGGACTTTTGAGATCTGTGCCTTGACCCCCCGCCTGCCCTGGCGCGCGATGCGCAGAACGCGCAAGGGGCGGAGCAGGAGGCGCCGCCAAGGGGGGGGGGACCCAGCGCCGATCCAAGAAAGCCGCGCAGAACTCCAAACATTAAGACGAAGCCAGGACGAGGATAAAATCGGGAGGGGATGAATCGAGAAGCTCTGATATCCTGCGGCTCTGGAGGATGTCTCGGGCGCAGGGGCCTCCCCAGAGCGTTCCAGAACGCTCTGAAAGCGTTCCAGGCCCCGTCCTCGTCCTGGCCCCGTCCGCAAAACGCTCTGAACGGTCTGAACGCTCTGGAACGGATCTATCCTCGTCCTATAGCCCCGTCCGAAAAAAAAGTGTAAAACGGTGAAGGAACACTGAACCCCTCCCCCAAGACCAGGGTTCCTGCTCCAATGGCCCGACGGAATGTTGATGCTGTGCTCTCTTCTTCGAGCCATGGCGGCAGCGGCAGCGGCAGCATCGGCAGCGAGGCGGCGTTGCCGCAGGCGGGCCCGCCGACCTCGGCCACCTGCGCCGTCTCCGCCCCGCCGTCGCTGCAGAGCTTGGTCAGCGCGTTCACGAGCAGCGGGGCCAAGACCGGCCTGCATTCAGAGGCAACTGCTGGGAGGTCTTCGTCGGAAGGATTACTGAGGATTGAGCCCCGTTGGGGTGCCGGTGCGCCGGATTAGGCCGCGGAGTTAGCGGGATCAAGCCCGATCAGGCGGGATTAAGCCGGATTGAGCCAGATTAGTCCAGCTTAAGCCAGAGTTCGGACCAGGGCAAAATCAGAATCTGACCTCCAATTCGGAGAATGTCTGCAGCCAGGTGGACCCCATCGGGGGCATCCGATACCCCAGCGGCGATTGAACCCATCAGGACAAGGCTCGCTAGTGGTCGCGAAAGCAAGGAATACCAAACTGCACTAAACTTCAAATTTACAAACATTCATGCTTCTGTGGTTTGTGCTTCTGCGAGAAAACAAGGGTGCGCATGCCAACCCCCCTCTGGCCACGCTGCCCAGGCTCCGCCGAGCCCGTCGGTTCGTCCGTCCTCGAACCGCTGCTCGGAGCCGGCTGAGGAGCGCACCGACGTCACCATTTGAAGTGCGCCTGAGATGACTGGACGACGCCAGCCGTAAGTGACCACCTACCAAACCACCCCAACCCAACCCGAAGACCCGAATTTCGGGTTGGGGGGGGTAAGGGTTCCACATGTGTTTTTGTCGATGTTTCCCGACCACCCCCCCACTGGAAATCGGAGGTAAATTTGAGCCTTCGGGTTGGGTTGGGGTGGTTTGGTGGGCGGTGAGTAAGATGAAACCAGGATCGGGACAAAGCCGGATCGGCACAACCCGGGATCTCTGGGAGCCAGGGCGCGTCTGGCGGACGCGTCGGGCGCCGCGGCTGTCTGGAAGCGCCCTGGAGAGCGCTCCGAGGGTGTTCTGCAACGCTCTTTGGCGGCGCGCACAAGGCGGGTGGAGGGAGGGGGGAGGGCTTCTTAGAAGGAGGCTGCTTCATAGAAGGCGCCGGCCTTACATCTATAGACAAGGCCCGCGCCTTCTAAGAAGCAGGGGTGCTTCTAAGAAGCCCCCCCCCCTCCCCCCACCCCCCTCTGCGCGTGGCTGACCTCTGGACCGATTCCACCCCCCGATCCTGGGCCTGCCGGAACGCCGTGAACCCGGCGAGCTCGATGCACGCTGCCGCGCGTGCCAGCGAGCGCGGGGGTCAATCATTCGCTCCGCGATCACACCCGCGTCCTGCGGGCCAGGCCGCCCGGTCTTTGAATTAGCACGCACGCGCCGCTCGCAATGCGAGCGAGGTGAAAGAAGGTCGCGAAGCAGATCCGCAAACCCCACTCGAAAAGGGGGCGGGGCCGATTACAAATTGTACCACCCAAGCCGGAACAACGACCCAAAAATACGGTCGCAACACATCACCAGCCAGGATAGCAACTGCACGCGACGTCTGGCCATCGTCAAGAACAGGAGGGAGGAAGGGGAAAAGAGGGAAAAAGGAGATGGAAAGAGAGAGAGAGATAATGAGAAATATATAGATAGAGACAGAGAGAGAGAGAGAGAGAGAGAAAAACATAGAGAAACAAACAACAAAGAGAGAGAGGGAGAAAGCTACATAGATGACAAAACAAACAAACAAAGAGAGAGAGAGAGAGAAACAACAGAGAGAGAGAGAGAGCGAGAGAAAGAAAGAGAGAGAGAGAGAGACAACAAAAGGGAACGAGAGAAGGGGAAGAAAGAGAGAGAGAGAGAGAGAGAAAAAAAAAAAAGAGAGAACACAAAGGAATAACAAACGAAAAGACAAGTGCGCCCCCTGCCAGTGAATTAGCTGGAACCTACAGGCTGGCCAGAGCAACAAACCAACGCACATGTTACATCACCAGACAGGAGGCACGCTGCACAGAATGCCACCATTGCCCCCGGACTTGGGGGAACCGCAACATACCGATACCGCGACTCCCCGGACATCTGCCGGGGGCGTGTTCTGGGGAAAATTCCAGGGGGGAATCCCGCTGGGCAGTCGAGCGACGCGAGCTGGGACAACAGCAGCTCAGAATCGGTTCCTGGCCACCTCCCGAGGGTGTATCCAGCCGTGGCGACGAGGGGACCCCCGCATGCCAACTGCAGTTGGGGCGTTGACCAAAGGAACCCTAAATAAGGAACGAGGCCCCCTTTTCCCATGAGTTAAAAACTCCGACTTCCCATGGGAAACCGCAGGGAAACCCAAGGAGCACCGCAAAACAAAACTTGAGGAACACGGAGCCCCTCCCAAACGAAAAGGGTTCCTCCTTCAGCGCCCCGACTGCATCGTGGTGACAAATGGCCCGTCCTCAGCAGCAGGCGACACCCGGGGCGGCGAACTCAGCCGCGGCCCTGGGACGCCGCAGGGCAGACAGCGCGGCGCGCGCTGCCCGCAGCACGAGCCCGAGCCGAGCCGATCCTCCCCGCACTCGCACCGCGGTGCTCGGAAGACGAGCAGACGAGGTCGACGTGCACCTCCGAAGGTCCGCGTGGGACTCCTGGATCTGCGCTGCGACCCCGTCTCCGACGCGCCAGGAGGGGCCGCCGCTGCGAGTCCGGGCGCCGATCCAAGAAACCCGCCCGATCCCCCGAGAGTCGATGCCATGCCGTCATTTGTCCCCCCCCAGACCTGTTATATCGAGCCTTCCTGCGCGCACTCGGGGTCGGACCCAGTCGGTGAGATTCGGGATGCGCGCGGACAGCCCTCCCAGGTTGTCGCGGCTGGCAACGGCAGGCCCGTCGATTTGGAGGGCCCGAGAAGGCAGTCACCGCAACCTCTTGTCGGCATTCGGCCGCCCAACTTCGCCAGGCAACAGAACTTTGTTGCCTTGAGGGCGTGGGGCAGCCGTCAAACGACTTGCGCGCGCTGGCCGCTGGACATGGTCGGCCGCCGCGTTCCGTCGCGGACGGGTGGTCTCCGTTGCTGCGATGCCGCCCAGCGACGGCAAGCCAAATGGACAGGTACAGAGAGCACCTGTTTACCCCAGACTGCTTCTACAGGTCGAGCGAGTACCAATCGACCCATCTGGTAAGAGCGGCTGCCTCTACAGTAGAAGAAGCACCTTTTTACCCAACTTCTCCTCTTAAAGGCACGCGCATAGCGCCAGGGGCGAACAGGAAGAATATGTACCCGTGTACCCCCCGGCGAGTACCTCAGAGAGAATCTGTTCCTACAGGCACAGGCTCAATCTGAGGCCGCGCCCTGCCATTTCACCCCAGGCGGCTATGGCGCCTGAGTCGCCGAAGCCGCGCCCTTCCTGTCTACCTGACTGGTGCTCCCTGGTGCCCGAGCACTCTTGCAAGGGCGTCTGCCCGGATAAACAGGTGCCGGCCGCATTCCGCAATCAAGCATAAACGATTATCGAAAGGAGGGGAAGGGGAGGGAACAAGGAAGAGGAAGGAACACAACAACCAGAAGAAAAGAGAAAGACAGCCTAGAAACTGCCTCAAGAGAGGCCCCAGCACGGCCAAAAGATCGCCCACGACATACATGGAGCCCACGACGGCCCCAATATCTGCTCAACCGCCCCCAATAGATTTCAACCGAGCCTCCTCGGCTGAGCTCGGCGGAGGGGGTGGTGGAGGAGGACAGAGGGGGGGGGGGAGGAGGGGATATACGATCCTGTAGGCCGACGGGCTTCGTCCTGAGCTCCCGGGGGAGCTCTCCGCAGCCTGCGCTCCTGGCTGTGCCCGAGGCCTGCCCCTCCCGCCCTCGAGCAGCTGCACCTGGCCAGCAGGGCCCCCATCGGGCAGCCCAGGGCGGCCTCCACACCTCGACCCCCGGGGGCGCGCGGAGGGCCCCATGGGGCGCCACAGCCCGGGGCGGCGCGCTGGGGAGCCGAGACCGCCCTGGGCTGCTCGGGGGGGGGGAGGGAAGGGGGGGCTGTGGAGGTCGGCTGGGACCACAGTCGGGCTCGAGTGGACGGGACCTCAGTGGGCCCTGGAAACGGCGAGGCCGATTCTTTTCCAGTTCCGGTTTGCCGTTTTTTTGCCGGTTCCGACGCCGTTTTCTTACCGGTTCCGTCGCCGTTTTTTGACCTGTTCCGGCTCCGGTTCCAATCCTGGAGCCGTTTTTGTTGCCGTTTCCGGTCGCCCACAAAGGACGGGACACGCGAGAGGACACAAAAGACCCTGCCGAGGGCCACAGCGCCACAGGAGTGCAAGAAGGCACGTGTCGCGAGGCACAGGGCACAAAGGTACCCTTGAGCTGGCAGGGTCGACCTACTCATCCGGGCCGACTGTACCCGAAGGGCCTGTTGAGGCCGCTGCGGCGGCCCCTGCGACACGCTTCTCCCCCTGCGAGCCGACGGCGTGTCGCTCCGCTCTGCAGGGCGGGAGGCTGGGGAAGGCTCCAGTCAACGTCTCGAGCCTTTCCCAGCCTCCTGCCCTGCAACCGCCCATCCCGTTCATGGGGACCTGTGGGTGGTTCGCATGTCGCGCCGCAGCGTGGTGGATCGAACCGACGACGCGACGCGCTAAGCCGAAATTTCCGACCGTAACTCGGGAATCCACGGACGGGAACCACGCCCCGAAGCCTTTCCACGTCCAGTCGCGCCCCCTCCCGGGTCCCTGCCCTTACCGAGCCGGATCCAGCAGCGCGACCCGATGGACGGGAACCACGCCCTCCTCCGGAGTCTCGGCGCGCCGCCTCGTTCCGCGCCGGCCCGTGCTCCCGGGGGCAGGGCGCACGCCTCACGCTGACCGGCATTCTCGCCAGGGTGGTCTCGAAGCAGGCCCGCATGATGGCGAGCGCCTGGCGGGGGGCGAGATCGAACCCATTCGGCCGCCGAACGGGCGAGGTTCCCACCAGCAACCTGGATTTGAGCGGGTCCGGCTGGACATGTGGAGGCCGATCACCGAACGAGCTCCCCACGCCGCATGGGCTCAGAAGGGAACCCTGGGTTTGGGGCGGAGAGGAATGATGAGGCGGTCGCAGGGTGTCGGGATGACGTGAAGTTTCCTAGCGCACGTCATGCACCTGCGGCGGGAGAGCCGTCGCCGTGACGACACAGAGTGGCCGGCTCGAGAGGAGCAGCAAACAGCTCAAACATAAACTTTCGAAGTCCGCTCGGATGTTGTGGATCGGCGCTGGACCGCCTTTGCGGCGCCTCCCGCACCGCCCCTGGCCCGCTCCGTCGATCCGCGCGGACCTCCAACACAATTACTCTTGTGGTCGTGAACTCTCTTGCTTGGCACTCAGTGTCACCGCTACGGCCTCGGCGACACCCTTGGCCTTGCGAGCGGATAGCGTGTCGCTGCGCTCCGCGGGGCGGGATGCGCGGAGCGGCTCGGGGTGTCGACGTTTCGGGAACGGGGGCGCGGGTAGCGTGTCGCGCCGACGCAAGGTTGGCCAAAACCAGCGGCGCGACAAGCTTAGCCAAAATTCCTGACCACATGTCGGGACGACAGGGACATGCCAGTGTGGAATGTGCCATGTGAGGGGAGCTCGCCGGTGTGACTATGCCTGTTTGGGCATGCAAGGACGGCGGGGACATCCCGCAACGGTCGCCAGCGTGGGGGATGCTAGGCCTATGCGGCACCAAGCGACCCCGTGAAACACAGCAAGAAAACCAGCCAAGATTCCCCAATCAGAACCACACGGGCGCTGTGCGAGCGCTCGTGTTCTTGCGCAGGCCCAGGCGCTGCCAGGAGGCACGCGGTGAACATCACGATGGGTCTTGAGCCTGGCGCCCGCTCGCGCTGGCGTTGTCGCTGTGTCGGGTCACCCCCTCGAGCTCCCCCCGCCTATCCGCATCCTCCTCCGCTTGCCCTCCCCGCCCAGCTCCCACATCCTCTCCCCTCCATCGTGCTTCCCCGCTCCTCGCTGCGTCCTCGCTTCTCGCTTTCCGCTGCCACTGCGCGCGCTCGTACGTTTGAGCGGAGCCCCATCTTGGCCTCGACCGCGGCCTGATCTCCTGCGCCCGACTCCACAAGCGTCGCATTCGAAATCTATGTTGCTTCTCGCTCTTATATATATATATATATATATATATAGCTGTCCTTCTCTCGTTCTCTCTCCCTCTCCCTCTCTCTCTCTCGCACTGTTCCGATACACGCCGATGCGAGTACCATGAGAGGACTAACGGAAGAAATCCTGGGTATTTCCACGATGGGCAATGACATGATATCACTGGGGGTCCAACTTCCAACATAAAGTTCCACAAAGACCGCAGGATGTTCCCAAGATGGCAGCTCAGCTTGAGAGACGAATGCTGCCCGCCTCCATCTCCTCGTCCACTCCCGCATCTTCCTCCTCCTCAGTTTTCCCCCTCCTCCCTTCCTCGTCCTCTTCTATCCCCGTTTCCCATTTCTCTTGGCCTTCCCATCGATGTCGAACACCTCATCACCTCCCCCTTGGTTTTTCTTCGAATGTGACGTCCCCCCTTGCACATCTCTCGCATCCAGGAGGTGGCCCGTTGACTGCCGCGGGAGGCGGCGAACTGTGACGGCCGATCCTCCCTTGTCCTCCCTCCCTTCGTCTGCCTTCCTTTCGGGCCGCCCGGGCTCTGGCTCGCCTCCCGGGCTTCTGGCCTTCGCTGACTTGTTGTTCGGGGATTGAGTTTGCGACGCCGCTAGAAGATGGTGGCCGGGCTGCACACAACAACTCCCGCCCACCCCCCAAACCGCTCCCACTTAGCTAAATACGCATATGCATATCAGACACTGGAGACCCACGGCGCGCGCTTCGCGCGCGCTCACGTTCTCCGGAATCCCAGCTCGCAATGGGATGCCGCAGTTTGGGCAACGGTTTCGGATATCACGTTCGTCCGAAGACGCTACATCAGCACGTAGTATACAACCCTTCCCTGAGCACGAAGAGCTCCAGGATGCCGACGAAGATGACGAGGGGGCGGTCTGGAGGTCGAGAAAGTCGAAAAAGAGGGAGAAAGAGTCCAGGAGCATAAAAAAAGGCGACGACGACGAGAGCAGAACGGGAAGGATGCGGCAGGAGCAGAAGGAGAAGTGGAGTCTCTGAGGACGAGCAGCAGGAGGAGGAGGAGGAGGAGGAGGAGGAGGAGGAGGAGGAGGAGGAGGACACAAAGAGGACACAAAGAGCGAACGTCCACATGAGGCGGACGCTCCAGTCGATTAGCGACCCCGCGCGCCCGCTCCGCCAGACAGACTATCGGGGAGTCTCAGGGCAGCACGTGCAGCTTTGACAGCCGCGAGGTGCACAGGAATGTCGGAGAAGTCAGAATCCTTGATGTGGTGGTAGAGCCGGAAGGCCACCGCAACGCGGGTGACGCTGTCAAGCCTTGAGTTCTCTCCAGTCTGTTGGTGTTCGGCTCCGAGACCCAGTCGAACCAAGACATCACCGTGAAGCTGGCCACGAGGAAGGGCCACCAGATGCCACAGAGCACGACATTGCATATAATGCTCAATCCCGTCCGCGCAGCCGGCACAATGAAAGCGACAAGAGAGCTGTTGCGGAATGACGTGCATGCGCGTGGAGGTCGCCCATCCCCCGGCGTATGTCTTCAGCACGGGCCATACTCTCGACGGTGGTAGCCTGGCCAAAACCTTCTTCGCTGCAGACCAGCGCCGCTGAACATCTTCAGGTGCCACGAACTGGTCCCCGAACCATTTCTGCAGCCGCTTTGAAATCGTCTTCGCGAACTCGTCTTGGTGCAGGTGGCCATGCAGCACCAACAGGTACGTCTTCTGCGGGCTCGGTAGCTTGGCCGTGCCCCCGCGTTCGCCACGACAAAGGGGTTGCATTTGAAGCCAGTTTTCTTCCTCACCCCTTGCTCGCCAGCACGCCGCGTCGATAGCGGATGGGCCAGAACGCCCAGCAGTAGCGGAAGGGCCAGTACGCCCGTCGTCAGGTAGGTCGCCAGGTGTTCCGTGTCGCAACCTCTGCTGACGGCGTGGCTGTGTGGCATCGTTGCGGTGCCCAGCGCCGGTGTTAAAAGCAGCGCCAGCACGCTCGGCAACATCTCGATCAGCCAGGGCACGTGTCGCACGTTGCCCTGCAATGCGGTGGGCCCGAAGCAGAAGTCGATCAGCAGACTGCGCCCCACGGGCGCGAGCAAATCGTTTGTGGGCGGATCCATTGCCCGTCACGAAGCCCGCGCCACTAATCGCCTGTTGCAAGTGGAACGTGATGGAGAACTCATCAGCCCAGCACGGAGAACACCACTTTCCTGTAACGTAGCGTGGGGCAGGCAAGAACGCGTGGGCCGATTCCTCGAACGCCTTGTGTGCAGTTCTCCAGTTGTTGATGGTGGTAGCCGCTGCTCTCCACAGGGTGGCCGCAAGATGCGCCTCCATGCTCACTGGCACCTCGAAGCCACCCCATCCACCAAAAGAGAATATGCCAGCTTTCGTAAAACTTGATGGTGCCGTGCGAAGGACTTTGTGTAAGGAGTGGATTTCCCTTTCCAGCATCTTGGGCGTCGGCGGGAACAACTGGCCCACGTTGCTGAGAGTCGCGATGGCGCTGGCATTCTAGATCTTGGTCCCCATCTGCAATGGGGTGCGCGACTTGCCCAGGAGTTGAGAGCGATCCCACCACTTAAGACTAGGCCCTTGCCATTGAATAGATCTCGCGGCCCCTGGGCCGATAAACGTCCCGAAAAATTTCGCCATCGCCTCGATTTTGAAATCCCGCCACGGCGGGTGGACCGAATTCAGGACGGCCCGTATCTCCTCGATCAGCGTCGGGGTAGGCAGGGACCAAACTGGGGCAATAACGCATTTCTTTGCTTGAAATTGAGCCCGGCCAGCTCTTCTGCAGCCGCCATATGAGGTGCCAGCGTGCAAATATCGCGCAGGGCTGCAAGTATAATGCCAAGATCGTCTGCGCAGGCACGGAGAAGACCACGGCGCAGGCGTCGCATTTCACGAGCTATTCCTCGGACAAGCGGATCAAAAACGATGGCCCAGATCGTGCCTGATAAAGGACGGCCTTGGGCAACCCCCGGGTCGGCAATCAGCAGCGGGCGAGGTACTCCACCCAGCTCGACAGACGAAACTGGCATGTTGTAGCAAGCTCGCAGGAAGGTGAACATCGAACCGCGCACACCGCTGCGCCGGAGTGCCTGCCACATCCACTGGCGCATGAGGCTGGGAAAGCCGCTGCGATGTCCATGCTAATGAAGACCGGCTGCTCGGCGTCGGCATTCGGCAAAATGGACAGTCGGCGTGCCTCCGCATCTGCGTCGACAATGTTATTGAGAGGTTGTCTTCCCACTACAAAGCCCTGCTGCTCCTCCGCGGTCTTCTGTGCAATCTGGCTGAGGGAGCGGTTCGCGGCAGCAGCAAGCAACTTGACGTCCGCGTTCTCCATGCTCAACGGCCGGAGGAGGTCGGGCGAACGCACGCACTCGGAGTTGCCCAATGGCTCGTCCCCCGTCGGGAGCATTGCCATGAGCGCGTAGTTCAGCTCGTAAGGGGCACCGCCGCCTGCGCCCAGCTGCTGCCCAAGCTCCTCCAACACCTCGAAGCTGCCCGAGTCTTCACCCAAGCGCGGTACGGCAGACCATCCGGCCCAGGTGAGGAGTCACCAGCGCGCCAAGCAACCGACTCCAAAGATTTAGCTGTAGGCAAAGGGAGATCCACTCGATCTTGGATAGGGGAAGACCTGGTCGAGGTACGCGGTGACAGCGGCCTCATCGACCCGTCTTTCACCAAATATGGGGGCCCAGTGTGATTGAATCGCCGCGTGCCTCGCTATGGGGTCCTTGGTAATGGTATGTTGGGCCCCAGTCAGTACTTTGATGCCCACCAATATCAATAGTTTGGAAAATTGTT